GTTTTTCTCTTTTCTGAGGAAACGAACTCCACTCTTCTGCTGATTTGGACTTGTTTCATTCATTTAATTCCATACAGTTATTCAAGCTGATCCTTCCCTTTAAATTGGTGATTTTTTTATGCGTTTTTGCTGTGCAGCGCTATAGCAGCGCTATAGCGCTGTTACAGCCAGCAAAAACGCATATTGTCGAGAGGCTGTCTGTGTGTGTGTGTTCGCAAAGCGAGTGCAGTTTGTCGCCCACTTTCAACTCGGCAACCAGGAAAGCTGGGGGGCTGAAACTTCGGAACGAGTGCATTTTGTCACCCACTTTCATCTCAGCAACCAGGAAAGCTGGGAGGCTGAAACTTTGGATGGTGTTCCTACCCCGCGTGTCATCCTCCCGTTTTAAGATGTTCCCCCATACACGCCTAAACCCCGCGCGGACCCCCAAAGGAATTTGTTGGCGAAAAACCATTTCGCGAACTAGGCAACGTAGAAGGCTGAAACTTTACCCAAAGGAATTTGTAGGTGAAAAACTGTTTCGCGAACCAGGCAACGTAAAAGGCTGAAACTTTGCTGAAGGAATTTGTAGGTGAAAAACTGTTTCGCGAACCAAGCAACGTAGAAGGCTGAAACTTTGCAGGGATGTTCTCGAACTTGGCGGAAACGATTTCGCGAACTAGACAACGTAGAAGGCTGAAACTTTGCAGGGATATTCTCTATGCACGCAGGCAACGTAGAAGGCTGAATCTTTGCAGGGATATGATTTGTTGGCGGGAAACGATTTCGCGAACCAGGCAACGTAGAAGGCTGAAACTTTGCAGGGATATTAAAAATCGTTTCGCGAACCAGGCAACGTAGAAGGCTGAAACTTTGCAGGGATATTCTGTATGACCCACGAGACACAAAGTTTTAAACTCAGCCCTCTAGCTCCCCAACCACAGCCGCAAGAGCTCCTGAACCCAAAAATCGCATTTTAAACTCAGCCCTCTAGCTCCCAACCACAGCCTCAGGCAGCTCCTGAACCCAAAAATCGTTAGCAACTCGGACTCAGCCCTCTAGCTCCCAACCACAGCCTCAAGCAGCTCCTGAACTCAAAAATCGTTAGCAACTCGGACCTCTCTAGCTCCCCAACCACAGCCGCAAGAGCTCTTGAACCCAAAAATCGTTAGCAACTCGGACTTGAACCGTAATTGTATATGCAAATGAACGTGGGTTTTTTAAAAAACGACCGTTCGGGCAATACTTCCAATTTTTCAATGAACTGAAAATTTGCATATTTTCAAAAATTCGTTCTCAGCTCGGACCTTAACCGCAATCGTAACGTGAACCTGCTATATGGCATAACCCCCACGTAACCTAAATTCAATCATACTCCTAAAATGCAAACAAAAGAAATGCGCGCACCTTCCCTCCACAACAACATAACAAGCGAAACAGAAAAGCGAGCACACTTGGAACTGACGTCACGTGCAACTCCTCGAAAACAAATGAGACCGCGACTGGGTCGCTGTGCAACTGAACAACGAACGGCGGCAATTCAAATGGTTGCTGTGTCTATTAGCGACAAACCCGAATTTCGGCGCTTGATT